AGTGAAAGAGGAGAGTGGAAAAGTTGGCTTTTCAGCCAAACTCAACATTCAGAAAACGAAGATCATGGCATCTGGTCCCATCACTTCATGGCTAATAGACAGGGAAACAACAGAAACAGTGAGAGACCTTGCTTTTTGGGCTCCAAAATCACTGAAGATGGTGACTGCTGCCATGAAAGTGAAAGATGCTTGCTCCTTGGAAGAAAATTTATGACTATCTTAGGCAGCATATTAAAAAGCAGAGACATTACTTTGCCTAGAAAGGTCCATCTAGTCAAGGCTATGGTTTTTCTAGTAGTCATGTGTGGATGTGAGAGTTGGACTATAAAGAAAGTCGAGCCCTGAAGAACTGATGCTTTTGGAGTGTGGTGTTTGAGAAGACTCTTGAGAATACCTTAGACTGCAAGGAGATCCAACCAGTTCATCCTAAAGGAAATCAGTTCTGAATATCCATTGACTGATGGTGAAGCTGAAACTCCCAACACTCTGGCCACCTGATGCGAAGAACTGACTCATTTGAAAAGATCTTGATGCTGGGATAGATTGAAGGCAGGAGCAGAGGATATGACAGAGGATGAGATGGTTGGATGGCATCACCGACTCAACTGACATGAGTCTGACTAAACTCCAAGAGTTGGTGATCGACAGGGAGGCCTGGCATGCTGCAGTCCATGGGGTCGCAAAGAGCTGGACATGACTAAGCGCCTGAACTGAACTGAACTGAAGTTATATTTAAAATGTGAAGTTCATTCTTGAGCAAACTGAATGTCAACCTCTTATTTGAGAGTCTAAATTTACAGCTTCATGTGATGTCTTTGAGATACTACATCTATCAAGTTACCGGATGGTGTTAATATACCCAATACTGATCTCTTCTTACTTGTTCACTCAGAAAAGATTTTTCACACTGCTTAAAAGCTGCTTATTTACACATATGTAGGAGAAGAAAAAATAAGATTCGCAAGAAAATAGATCAGAGATTTATGTAATTTTGTAGTCTATAACTTTAATGAGCAGCCTAGAGCAATCCACAGAATCCTTCAAACAAAATGAAGCATTATGTTCCTTCCTTTTGATTGTTGTTGTTTAAGATCATGTCTTTACCTGAAAATATCTTTAATGCCAAAGGTTATTTTAAGTCAATAGAAATAACATTATCATGTTTATTTCTTGGGTTTCAAATAATTTTACAGCCTACCCTCAATTTTCACTAATAGACAACTATAGAAAATTGTGTTTAATTATAGCAGCTAGGTAAGTGAATGACAAACTTCCCTATAATTTCATTTACTACTAACTAAGGATACCAATTTTCCTGACATGACTATTTTTTAGTTGCAAATAATAAGGAAGAAATACTATTAAAGGGAACTTTGGTTCAGGCACTATCCCAATGAACTGATTATGTATGCATATTTGTGTATGAAGTGTATATAGTTGGTAATGCATCTACTCATCAAATACATATCTAACAACAGTTGCTGGGAACCATAAAGACAGGAAATCATTAACTTTAAGGTTGCGGTAACTATAAAATCCACAAAATGATGATGCCAGTTTGATATCTCTGAAATACTAACATTCCCTCAGCATCTGTAGTTAAACAGACAAGAAGTTAAATTGTGTGCTTTCAGCCTTTTTATGAACTAAATCTAACAGTCATCTAGATTTTTGTTGTAGATATATAGTTCTAGACTAGTTAAGAGTATGAAAATTCTCCCTTAACATGTGCTATGTAACTATAGAGAAGATATATAGAAAGTTTGGTGTTATTACTTAAATTTCAGATTAGTTTCTCACCACCTGCCTTGGGTGATCTAGTATTGCCTGTGGGATTAATTCTAGATTTCAAACTTTTTAACGGAAAGCTTGTATTTTCTTAGGCGTCATATGCTGACTTATCATAATGCAAGTGAATTGAAGGTTCCTTTTCAATGCGTTTTTAAAAATGAAAGAATGGGCTTTCCTGGTGGTTCAGTGATAAAGAATCTGCCTGTCAATGCAGGAGACACAGGTTTGATCCCTGATCCAGGAAGATCCCACACGACGCCTGTGTGCCACAACTATTGAGCCTGTGCTCTAGAGCCTGAGAGCCACAACTACTGAGCCCATCAGCTGCAACTACTGAAGCCCATGCACCCGAGAGCCCATGCTCCATAATGAGAAGCCACTGCAATAAGAAGCTGGTGCAACACAATTAGAAAGGAGTCTCTGCTCATCACAACTAGAGAAAGGCTCACACGGCAAAATGGAGCAAGCGCAGCCAAAAATAAATTTTTTTTTAAAAAAAGGTGGAAGAATGATTTCTAAATTCTTCTCTAACTCAAAATTTTGACACACAGGAAATTTTAACCAGAAATATTCCTATTTAGAGTGAAAATGTTTAACATATATTAATTATTTTGATTTTTATTCATTCATAAAAGCAAAGGGGAGAGCTTTTCAGAGTATATCAGCTATAATTTTACCTCATATATCTATATGATTCTTATTATTCAGTTATCTTTCATTCAATAAATATGATTTCTGCTAAAAGGCTACTGGAAGTTAGGATTACTGAAATATAAATTATACAGCTCTGTTCTTTGCGGATTACATTTCAGGTCTTATTGTTTACTGAATTGTGCATATAATTAAATTCTCCTTTTACTATTTAATAGGTAGACTGTTTTAAAGATTAATCAGAAAAGCAACTAGCACAATTTTCCTCCTGGAAGTGAGAAAATCACTATGGTTTTCTTGTGGTGTTAAAAACAACATTCCACATACTAATCAGGGAAAGTTTCTAATTCCTTAAAATTAGCCTCCCACCTAATTCAATATCATTCAAAGTGTGGTTCATAGAACATCTATTTCAGTCTCTTGTAGTTTGTTAAAAATGGAGACTCTGGAACTTCAGACCTAAAAACTTAGAATCTTATAAAACATATTAACGGCAAAACTAAGATCAAAATTATGTTTACTGACTTCTGGTATTATGTTTTAACCTTTCACTCTTCCTCCATTCCAAATAAAGTACTCATATTTTATGGTGCAAATTTTTTAACTTGTCAAATTCATTTTTGTTTATCAATACAAAGGAATGATATAGTGTAGCAACAATCAAAATATTTCTGAAGCTTAACATATTGATTGAACCTTTTTTCACTTTCTTGGGTTTAACATAATTTCATAATGTGGAAGGATTTGAGTCCAGGTTTATTTGAATCTAGCCCTTGTAAGATTTCTCTGCAGTTTAACCTGATGAAATATTTGTAAATATCTATTTTCTTGTGATTTTACTAGCTTTCCCCTTTCCAGTTCATATTGATGTCATCATTAAAGCCTCTAGATAAATCATTTATATTATAGATCTTTACAATATCAAAATTTCCCAATGAAGTATTTTATCACTGAAAAAGCACCAAGCAAAACATATTCTAGAAGAAAATTTTTTAAAAAACTACTTGTAGTAAACAGGACACCAAGAGGGAGGTACATTTTGAAATTACCTTTGTAATTAACATCAATTTAGCAATTTTATTTTTAAAAATATAGAATAATGGTTATTAAGATCTGAATTAAATTGTCAGATGACACATATAAAAGCAAAAATCTAGCGTTTGAGTGATCAAAAACTTTGCAGAGAAATCCTGAAATCTTTGTCATTAATAACTAAATCAATCAAAAGTATAAAACTACAAAGTAATCTTTAGAATGGCATATAAAAAATTAGAAAAATATTGATATGTATATTTAAATGATTAATGTAGCACATATGTTTTCTCTTTGAAAATTTAAGAAATAATTAAAATAATATTTTATGCACTTATTAATAATGTTTACTATATTAAACTATTTTGTTTTACATCATTTGTTCATATACATTCCTGTGTTTTATCTTGTACAAATGTTTAAAGGAATATAAATTTTGCAATCCTATGTATCTTGTTGAAATATGCCTCCAGAGAATATTTATAATTCTTTAATAAATGTCTATATCCTAAGAAGATGAGGACTATGGAAGAAAACAGGATGTATGTGAATTCTTAGGGTTCAACATGTATGGTGAATTCATAATGGTAATTATTCAGTAGGGCTACACACAAAATTAATATGAAAATAACTAGCTCAATATTATTTATTTAGCCCTCTTAGTGCCTAAATTAAGTCTTAAAACAGAAAGTGTTCAATAGATATTTCTTCAACTGATTTAAACATAACACCTTATATGGTACCTTTATGTAAGTTACTATGGGAATACTTATATCCAGTAACATTCCAAAAAGTAAGTTTAAGTGGGTAATAAAACTGAAGTTAAGAGTTATCAAAGATGTTGGAGCTAAACAGAGACTCAAACCCTAATCTGTAGACTCTAAAGACCACTCACTATTGCACTCTTTAATAGACAAGATATTTTAAAGAAAAATATTTAGAACTCCATCACATATAAAGGTCAAGCCCTAAATATCTAGAAAAAATAACATCCAGAATAATTCCTTTCCTAGATGATTCAGAAATCACTACTCTAAATATTGTAAAACCATGAATGTTACACACCGGTCAGTTTAAGTACACTACATATTGAATACTACCTTCTTTCAATTGAGCCTTTAACTTACCTTCTCTATTGACTCATGAGGAAGTAGCGTTGACATATATACACCACCAAGTGTAAGACATAGCTTTGGGAAGCCGCTGCATAACAGAGAGAATTCAGCTCAGCGCTCCCTGACAACCTAGGGGGTGGAGGTATGGGAGAGAGGATTAGAGGGAGGGGATATATGTATACTTCTAACTGATTCACATTGTTGGACAGCAGAAGCCAACACAATATCGTAAAGCAATTATCCGCAAATTAATTTTTAAAAGTACATTTCAAAGGTGGCTAATACACAAAATGTAGATCTATTAGGCTTCCAATATTGATCATGATATCTTTGCATACATTTTTTCCTCCTGGTTTTGAAATCTTGCTTCAACACTACTCAAGCTGCTACTGGATACAACAGTTTTCTGACCTGACCTTCCCATTATCATTTCTGAATCAGCCCTATTCTCCAAGTTCAGTACCTTCCCTTGTCTCAGGTGAGTCTTTTATATTCCAGTTCTCCACAATTTAGCTAAATTTTGTCCTTTAGCTACCTCCATTCCTGCTCTTAACCTTCTTTTAAAGAGAAAGGCAATTCTAGTATTACATTGTCCGAGGCTATAGATCCATATAACTAATGTATTACTATAGTACTTAGCTACACAATTTTCAATATTTACCCAAGAACTATAAGCATTTAAATTCAAGCTAACAAATGAACTTATTAAGTACACCCTACACTTCTACATTCAAGGGTGTATCAAGGATAGATAATGCATATGATGTGGTCCATCCAAAACTATATTTTAATATGAATGAGTGTATATGTGTGTGTGTGTGTGTATATATACATATAATAAGCATAATAAAAATCACGTTTAAAATCATATGTAAAAACTGAAGAAAAAATTAGATATTCTGGGAAAACCACTCTAATAATTCTATAAACAAAATTTAGAACTACCCTTAACAATTATTTTCTTTTGTCTATATTTAATTCTTTCACTTATCTTACAATATTCTTCAATCTTTCTGTCTGTATGCTATTATATTGGAAGTATTTTCTGAAAGGTAACTTTTTAATCTAGTTCGGTATTATATTTCTGGGGCTTAGAATATTGTCTAACAAATGTTGGATGCTTAAAAATTATTATTGAATCAATAAATAATTGATTTAAATAAATAATTGGCACTTTTTCTTTCTAGAGTAACAACAATTATTAGTAAATTATAGTGGAATCACTGTTGTTAAGATAGTTACTATCACACTATTCTTGATCCATAAAAATATTTATCAAATCCATCCAATGCATATACATTGCCATCAATTAGATCTCCTCAAACTTCACTGTCAAATAAGGATCTTCATGAAGAATTTCCTATCTGTGGATCATAATTAATGGTGGAAAACTCTATTTTTCAGTCATTGAAGTTCATTGCATTGAATCAGTGCCTTGACAAAGATCCTGGTTAATAAAGAAGAGGTATCAGAGAAAGGATAATCCAGTGGATTATATTAAAGGAGTCTTATAAAGGCTCTAAACTGTTTATATAAGCAACACAGAGATAATATGGATTTATAAAAATTTCTCTCATTTGATTCTGAGGGATTTGGGGAGTACCTTTTCATTGAGAAATACAATTCTGTCACTATTTATTATAAAATTGTATTCTGACAAGTTTCATTAAAATAGTTTCATTTTTCTTACTTCATGAACTGTTAGTCTATCAACTGGAAATTATAAATTATCCCATTGCCAGTAACAATTTATTAGTTTCTCCAATACAAAAGTCACAGTATTTCTTATTTTAATAAAGAGTCTTGGAAATAAAAAAAAACTACATTATCGTTCTTCTTTACATTCACATCTTTGGTGAAGTTTGAGTCATGTAGTAGAATTCATTATGATGGAAATGTTTATAATATGTTTTTAATTGGAAGCTGATGTGAGATCCACCAACACAAATTATTGAAGATTGTTGGATTATTGAACTTGAAAACAGAAATAAATAGTCAAACATAGTACTTAAAAACAAAGTTTGTGTGCTCAGAAGGTATCTTTTCATAAATTTTTTCATGATTGATACTTCACTGTAACAGCCTCACTTATTTAATTTTAATAAGCTATATCTACCTAAATAATAATATAATGGATATATATTCCAAAGTTAATTAATATGTCAATGCTGTGGAGTTCATACAAGGTATAATACTATAAAAGTAGTATAAAATTTGAACTAGAAAACAGTATGAGTTTTTGCTATTGTTTTGTTCATTTTCCTTTGGAAATTATTGGCATATTTATTTTAAAATCTTCTTTTTCTCATTGTGACTTTATTTTGTCTCCTTATAGAAATGTAAATTATTTCTTAAATTTTAATTGTATCAGAGCTTTAGAATATGTGTGTGTGTGTGTTTGTGTATACAGAAAGACAAACAGCAGACATTCATATTTTTAGTAGTTAACTTTTGCTTCTTTTAAGGCATTTTCTAATATTTTTATATAATGCAACACTATGAGAAATACTATGTATTGTTCTACTTTTAACAATTATGAGTATGGTGAGTAAACCTGAAATTCTTCATTCATTTGTTTATTTAACAAATATTAAGGATATGTTGCTATGGAGCACAGTTCCTGTTCAATTTAGCTCCCATTGAGGAAGGAGATTTAATACAAATATTATACCAATTTTTTCCCATTATGATTGTGCTAAGTACCATAAATGGAAGCTATAGATTGTATAATAAGGGAACGGAACTTGGTTTATGGGGTGGGGAGCCAGAAAGTCTTTCCTGAGCTCAGTGCTAAAGAATTTACAGGTGTGAGACTGACCAAAACTGAGGAAAGGATCTTTCCAGGTAGAAGGACCAGCAGGTATGTGTAGGTTAGAACATGAGGAGACAAAATCCTTAATTAAATGTAGGTTGTCTAGAGTATAATAATTAACTGGAAAATAAATTCAAAGCAAAATGTTAGAGGTATATAATAAATTTATTTATACAGTATTATAATCCTTATATAAGATTTTGCACGATATCTAAAAAGGCTGGAAAGTCATTGCAATATTTTAAGCAAAGGAGTGATCACTTAGGTTTGCAGCACCACAACCAACACTAATCTGCCAAGCCTACACAGGAATGCTGCTTCTTTTCTGCCTTCCAAATTACATAGGTATTTCTTGTGAGATTCACACAGAGAACAGAATTGTTGGAAGCATAGTTCCATTTTAGCTAAATTAACAGTACAAAATCACCACATTATTCATGATTAAGTGTGTGTGTATTTTTTAATTCTCATACTGACAATCTTCTAAGTTAAAAAAAAATAATACATTTATTTTAGTCTTAAGAGCTATGCAACATGGAAAGGTAACTGAATAGCCTGAATAGAAATCGGGAGGCTATAATTTATTATATTTTATTAACTTCTTTGAAAATACTATATATGGATAGAATAACTTTATTATAATTAGTACTATTAGCAAGAATAAAATATGGATGAATCGTTAATTACTGCTGCCTTGAATGTGAACCAAGATTTTTTTAAATTATAAGATAGAATTACTTTCTGTATTTTTGCTTAATAAGATAATGATACTCATTGTTTTCAATAAAGACAAAAATAACAAATTATTCACAACAATGCAACATTTCAAAATTTATGTAATGTATTCTATGTTTTAGATTAGCATGTTTCAGATCCCCATGTTTCAGGTTAACAAATTAAGCTCAGAGCTATTATGTACTTGGCAGAGGTCAACTACTTGATATACAGTAGTAGTAAAAGGTAATTCAGGTTTATCTTTTTACTCTAATCACAGCGCTCTTTTAACCATAATACACACATACGCATGCAACACATATATATTTAAGGATATGCTTATATGCCTTGTGATTCAAACTTTAAAATTAAGTCCATACATTTATGCTCTCCTTCCAAAGACACTATAAAAATGCTAGTAAGTTGGTTTTTTAAAGATATAAATTTACATCAGTGAAAGATCATAGGATTTGAGAAATTTCAAATATTTTCTGGAAAATCAGTACAGATAGAAGTGCAGTGGCTAAAGAAGCAAAATGGTTTTGCAAACAAGTGAGGATGGAGAGCCTGCGCTGAGGGAGATAGAGCGGCTAGGCACATACACACAGGATATTATAAGGACCACAGAAGCTCCTGTCATCCTCACTTCCAGTCTAGCTCTCCCTTTGCAACAAATATAATTACTTTTGCTAATTAGTTCTGCCTATTTTTTTAAATTTTACATGTGTTTATAATATAAACACTTATTTTGTATAAACACTTATACTGTATAATGTGTTTATACAGTAAAACTCTTGTGACTGGCTTCTTTTGCTCAACACTTTGTAGTAGTATTTCATGTAACATTGCTCCGTGATTGTCTGGTTCACTTTATTTGCTAAATAGTGATCCATAATATATGAATATACCACAACTTCTTAATTTTACTCACGTTTGACTTGCTTTCAGTTTAGGGCTATTTGGACATCATTGAATTTGTGCTGCTATGGACATCATTGAACTTGTCTTTCAGTTTACAAATATACACATTTCTGTTGCACTTCCACCTGGAAGAAGACCTGCTGCTTTAGAGCCCATGCAGACATTCAATTTCAGTAGATACTGCCAAATTGCTTTCCAAAAAGATGCTGATCATTTACATTCTCTAGCAGTTGCTTTACATTCTTGTCAAAATTTGGTGCCAGGCTTTTCATTTCTGCAGTCCTAATGGGCTTCCCAGGTGGCGCTAGTGGTAAAGAGCCCATCCACCAATGCAGGAGACTTAAGAGATACAGGATCAATCCCTGGGTTGGGAAGATACCCTGGAGAAGGAAATGGAAACCCCCTCCAGTATTCTTGCCTGGAGAATCTCATGGAGAGAGGAGCCTGGCAGGCTATATAGTGCATAAGGTCACGAAGAGTCAGATATGACTGAGTGACTTAGCATGCAGCATATGTGCAATGGGTATATAGTAGTAATATGTTAGGTTTTAATTTGCATCTCCTTAATTACTAATGAATTTAGTATTAGTCAATACACTTCTTGGTAATTTCAGTGGTGTCATTTGTAAAGTATCTAGTCAAGATATTTGCCACTTCATCTTTTTCTTAGTGATTTATAATATCTTACTTTCATTTATTTATTTATTTATTTTGACCATAACACAGGGCACGTGGAATCTTAGATTCCAGACCAGGGATCAAACCTGAACCCCTGCAGTGGAAACATGGGGTCTTAACCGATGGACCACCAAGGAAGTCCTTTAGTGATTTATAGGGATTTTATCTATAAATATACAGGGCATGAGTTCTCTGTCAAGCATAAATGTTGCAACTATCTTCTCCCAATATGTGCTTGAAGTCTTACTCTTTCAGTGATATCTCTGGAGGAACAAAAGTCTTGATGTTTAACTTAGATCAGTTTACCAATTTTCTCCTATTTGTATTTTTCATGTCCTCTTTAAAAAGACGTC